AGTCCCATAACACTTGGTGGCATTGATAGTATTTGTACTAATACTAATAATAATGGCAACTCATTAACTATGTTGTACAATGACTGTAGACAGAGCAGTCTTAATGGAACATGCGGCAGGCCACCTTAAGAAAACCAACTAGAGGCTACCCTAAGTACCCTAAGTACACTTGCATGTCTCTTACACCTATTGAAAAATTAGCTGTAACATTCCTTGTCTATACATGTCCCTGATGATTAGTCACAACAGCAGCAGCTTTAGCTAGCTTGTTTGTTATTTCATTGTTACCTGCAAATGTTCATTTTGTCTTATCTTTATGATGAACTTTTATCTTGACAATATTAGTTGTTTCATTCTAGATTCCAGAGATTAATTCAGTTTGTTTTAACTGCTGTACCACAGCCTGTTATAAATTCTCACTCTGCCCATCTTGTACATCAGAATTTAGCCAGGGCAGCAAGGTAAACACCTGTACTTTTCTGGGTTGACTTGTATAAACATTTTATAGACTTTTTAACTTCAATTTTTAACACCAATGCAAGAATTTTTAAAATTGTAATTTTGAAACTGTACATTAACATGGACATGCATTAATATACTGTAAGAAATCGGATGTATGTATTGATTCTTATATCATTTTGGAATAATGTAATTGTAACAAAATAAACTAAGCTTAATATTTTTTAATTCAAAATATATTTTTTCAACAGCTCCTTTGGCTATCAAAATTCCAGTCACATTTGTCAGATGTTTAACTATTACGATTGTTGCTTTTCTTCACATTAGGGCTTCCTCTGTGTAAACAACATATACAATACAAGGAAGCAGGGATCTCTGCTATCAGTAAGACCTAAATTAACCTTGATACAAAAAAGATGTGTAAAGGTTGTAAACATATTATTTCTTTATTTTTTTAATTTCTAATGCATTTTAAGTAATCTTAGCAAATTGTATAATTAAGGATAAAGTCTTTCAATAGACAGAAAACTACAATGATGATTTTTAACTTTAAGAAATTGTTTGAAAACAAACCCTAATAATAGATTGCTTCAATAATATTTCAAGGCAATATGCTAATTCAATCCCCTTGGCTTAAGTGACTCACAATAATACCCTTTTATGCAAGTGGATTTATGCACATATATTGAAATATCCACTACAAATATCCAAATTTCCACTATTTAATAACTTTTTATTTTATGACACCCTCTTCTCATGGCCAACCTTCATCTAAAGACATTCTATAATAAAACAATAATAAATTAAAAGAAGCAAATATATTATAGGACAACACACACCCCACAGTCTTGGAGACACAGGGCAGAAAACAAGGTTCAGAGGAAGAAGTATACATTGAATATGTATACTAGGGAATAATAGTTCATTTATATAGTCAGGAGCCAAACTGTTCAAGTCCTTAATGGTCAGCAGCATTGTGAATCTTATTCAAAAATCCACAGGCAGCCAAAGGAGGAATACTTTAACAGGTGATATACTGTATGATCATGCATTTTGTTTTCAAATCTAAGATGCTGATTTATTAACATAATAAATCTTTTTTGGAAATAACAGCAATCACTGCTTTACAATAAGAAAACCTAGACAACACAAAAAATGTATTATTTTGTCAACATCAGACTGGGAGAGATGTGTATGTGTAACGAACAGTTCTTTCCGGACCCTATGTGGACGACACAGTCCGACGGAGTGGGGGAACACTGGGGAAACGTTATGCAGGAAAACGGGGCTGAAGACAGGGGGGCGTGTCCACGGTGCGCTGGTGCACGGGGGAGGTGTGGCCGAGGCGAACAATCTGAGAGAGTAGTCCTTTGGGAATATCCAAAACAGAAGGGTAAGTCCAAAACCAGAAGATCCATCAGATCAAGGAATTAAAAACCACGAAGGCCGGGTCGGAACCGGCGGACGGGGAACAGGAACGGGAACGGAGGTTAAAACCTTTACGGGACCAGGCGCTTCCAGGTCCCGGACTCGCACGATATGGAAATCAGATGCAGAGCCCAGATGAGCGTCAGCGCCTGGCTTTTAAGGTGGGCTGGGAATGGGAAACAGGTGCAGAGAATAAAGTCTAAGTGAAAGGGCTGGAGCACCCTTAAGGAGGGGGAACTATAATCGTGACAGTATGGATAAGCATAATTTTTCAAAGGTCAAAGAATACCTTTTTATAAATAAATAAAAACAGAAATAAACTTGAAAATGACTCTGGGTGGGATTTTTAAAGAATAAGAGGGCACTATCTGCACACAGAAATATATGAGAAAGGTTGCTTGGGTTTGATTTCAATGGGAGCAGTTTTAGAGATATAGAAGACTGCCTGTGCTAGGGGTGCTAATAAGATGGCAAACAGCATTGGTGAGAGAGGGCAGGCCTGGCGAGTACTTTTGAATACAGCAATTTGAGGAGAGCAGATAGAATTAATCATAACCTCGTATTTAGTGACACAACAGAAGAATTGGTCATTGTTAGTAGCATGGATGATATAAAGAAGGTGGCTAACGTATCTGCAGCTGAACTTTTCCTAACAAATCCTGCCTCGTCACGATGTGTTAATTAAATCTTTAAAGTATTGATCTTACCTACCTATACCTTAGAGTACAGCTTCAAGTCAACATCTAAGAAAGATAGAGGCAATACCAGGCACATAGGGAGAGGTCTTAGCGAGGAAATTACCGCAATGTTAACAACCCTGTTCAAGGAACCCCTTTCTATGACCGCCTGTATCGTTTTATTGTACGTGGAGGAGGAAACAGCCTGGTAGTAATACTTGTACTTATTAGCAAGTCTAGAAATATTATTATGTCTTAAATGTGATTCCTGTATCATAGCGACATCTATTTGTTTGTGCAAAACGTCAGGGTAACTAGGATACTTGTTAGGGGAATTAAGGCCATGTATATTCCAGGGTAAGACATTACCTCATAACTATCAAAATTAATATCAAAGACTGAAGGTGTACTGGTTTCCGGGTGAGGCTCCCATAGAAGAGTTTTTTGAGACCCTATGCGAGGCGGCAAATCCGTAAAGGAATAGGGAACGGAGGTAAAGGTTTAATGGTGCTCACAGTGACGATAGGGAAGTCTGTGCAGAAGTGAAGGGTAGGTATTGCATTCAAATCCAGGGAGGTCCACAGAAGAATCAGGAAATGGTCCATATGTCCATTATCGAGAAATCCATCCGGAGACAAAACAGGAACAGACACACGTAAAACAAGAACCAGGAATACGGGGCTTCATCCCAGGCCCCCGGGCTCAGAAGGTCAGGGTGACTACTACTGGCCTATGCCCTCAGACTTCCCCGTGAAGCCTGATGGTAGGTAGGCCATAAGGCAACCATTTTCCAAAGCTGAGCCTCGAAGGCTGGGGGAAGAAAACTTAAATAAGGGACTTGACTAGACACACCAGGAAGTAATAATTAAAATGACTATATAGAGAGGATTAGAGCGCCCTCTGGAGGAAGGGATGATGACCGTGACAGAAGGAAGTTATGTGTAACAGAGCAAGGGAGCATTCCAGTCCTGTATAAGTATGCACCTTGGTAGTACAAGGGATATAAATGCTACTGTCATAACTGCAATCGGAAGCTGAGTATGAACAGAAATAAGACCTGACCACAGATCTTCCATAGATCTGGAGAGGTAGGAGTGGAAGGGATCCACTGAGGGAACATCTTTCGGATGGACCAAGCCACTTTTTCCCATTTGGCGCCCTCAGGTAGACCTTACATTACAGAGATAAGATCTAAATTCCAGCTCATTCATTTAAGTCTGAAGCTCATTCTAACACAGGCTGGCATTAGATTCTATTTTCACTGGTGAAAATAGTTATAATTTTAATATTAATAATAGGTACTGTATTAATTTCTGGGTCATTCCATGCATACGTTTGATCATACTAGTATATAAAACAGGATTTTGGAGGCCTTAGCTTTCTGATATTTAAATGTCACCTGGCCAATTATCTTCTTCCAACTCTTTCAAGGATGGCAGTTCATTCCCAATTGCCTCAGATTGTCGCTCACCCAAGAACTAACAGTTTGTTTTTGTCTACCATAGTCTCTCAACACAAACTTCTTATAGAAGTTATTTTTACCTCTTATAGAAGAAAATGCTTCCATACCCAGTATAATAGAAGTACTAATACTTCATAATTAGGTGGCATGTTACCACAGTGACTCAAAACATATGCCCTATGCAATCAAGGGGTTCATTAGGAGAAAAAAAGTGGAAAATCTTAGACTCAATCTCCAAATTTAAGTCCATTTGAGAATACGTACAGTATTACATGCTGAAGAAAACCAAGTCAAAACACATCATGAATAGACAAGACCTCTCAAGGTCAAAGCATCTCAAATTATTACACAAATAATTTGTGGAGAGCTCAGAGTTGCAGAAGCCATATACTGTAGTTATTGCCTCCAATTGATTTGATTTGCAAACATTTGCAGATATACATTCTAAAATCTACATAAAAGTAAGGTGTTTCATTGGCACTTGGTCATTTCAAATCAACAAAAATATTATATTGTTCTAATATGATTAAATGTATATTATCTTACATTTAAGATTTATATTAATTTCATGATTGCAAATAGACGTTTTTGACTATGCTTTTGGCCGGCAACTTATATATATATACACATTACATTGCATTCATATCAATACTGATAATGTTGAGCCTGAACACATTAAAGTGTAGTTATACTGTAAAAAGAAGATAATATAATGACACAGAACAATTACTGTACGCATTAATGCAATTTATAACGAGATCCACAGTGGCATTTGTCTATTTTACATTCATAATTTTATTTTTCGTCTTTGATCCAACGACTCTCTTAAGCCCGAGAGCGCTAAATATAGTCCATCAGCATTTTTCTCCTTACAATACAGCACATGGTTACAGTTAAATCAGGCAGCACCAATAGTGTACTTAGAAGAACTAGGCACACATGCACATGAGGCTGCCGAGCCTTTCTACTATTGCTGCAGAACAATACAAATACTCCCGTATATCACAGATCAATGGTTAAAAAAGGGGGAGGGATGGCTTGAGAGGAAAGGAAAAAGCCACGAGTGATCAATATCTGACTGTCTTTTTGCAAATTGCTGCAGTGTTTTACAGGAGTAGTGTATTCTGAAACGGATTGACAGAGCGGGGCAAAGGAGCCACATGTCACATGTGCTTCATAGGAAGAAACGGGGCATCTGATAGCTGGATCTGGAGGAGGATGCTGCGGCAAGTGATACACAGAGGGCTCAAATCTTCTTTCTACTGGCTCGGTTTATTTGTTAGCAGGCATCCGGTTTTTTTCCTTACTGTTCCCGCTGTTTTAACCATCATCTTCGGATCCACCGTTCTGAGCAGATTTAAGCCCGAAAGAGATCTAGAGATATTGGTTGCCCCAACCCACAGTCTGGCTAAAATAGAACGGAGTCTAGCGAACAGTCTTTTCCCCATTGACCAGTCCAAAAACAAGCTGTATTCAGACCTGCACACTCCCGGCAGATATGGCAGGCTGATCCTGCTCTCGAAATCCGGGGGAAACATTTTGGAGCTGGCTGATCAAGTCCTGAAGGTCCACAAAGCGGTGCTGGATTTGCGGGTTAATTACAAAGGTTTCAATTACACTTTTGCGCATCTCTGTGTCATGAGCCACAGGGATAAGAAATGCCTTTTGGATGATATAATTACAATTTTCAGAGACATTCGTCAAGCTGCCTTTTCAAACAGCACACCTTCCAAGGTGCAAGTGAGTTACCCAAATACAACATTAAAGGTAAGACTAATTTATTTTGTCAGCGAATTTCCTATTAAGAAAAAAATGTTTTCTTGCAAACTATGCTTTGAGGTTTGTTAAACGGGGGTTATATGAGCCAGAAGCTCGACTATCAAGTAGTTGAACTGATAATAATAATAATAATAATAATAATAATAATAATAATAATAATAAAAAAGTCCCACGTTCTGATTTGCATGTATACTTCAGCCTGAAAAAAAACCTCGAATTTAACTTTATTTGAGGGAGTTTTTGAAAACCGTAACCTGGACAATTTTAATTTATAAAGCATTCTCTTGCTGAATGCGTTTGTTTAAATTTGCAAAACTACGTGTCCTGACAACAGGGCAGTGTTTCATTTCTGGCTAGTGCAGTCGGTCCCATGAACCGAGTTGTTTTACAAAGATCTGCTACGGTTTCATGATGTCTACCTTCATGGTGAAAGCACAGTGAGAAACGAATGCGGTACTGAATATGCAGTGTGTGATTTCCAAATTGTCATTTAAACCTTCCAGATTAATACATTCGGCCGTTTTATCACCTTTGACATTATTTCTTTGATTTTGTTTAAAGTATGTTTTGTTACACAGCAAATTACTGTGAATTGTGTTTTAACACTAATAGCATTGATCGTTTTACCTACAATTGTGAAATTAGAATTTCTCTATTGGCTGAAAAGTAGGATAACAGTTGACTGGGATGAAGTTTGTTTAAATAATTTATATGAAATGGATAAGTTACAGGATGCCAGCAATTACATTATTAAGCGAAGTGTCACTGGTTTCTTTCTGTACGAACACTATGTGCATACGTAAAGTGAAATTAATTACTATTTCATGAATGAAGGTATACAACAACAAACAAACCCTGTCTGGAAAATAACAGTTATAATATCATCATCTGTAACATTAATACAGGATTTCTTTCCTTTAGAAAATACTATTATCATTACCTCAGTTTGTGTTACTGGATTACATTCATTGATGCTGAGGAGACACTACATTGCTTCTTGTATCCTTGTTTCAACTCATTTGGTCCACAGAGGACAAAGTAATTTGTTTCATCGCTAGTAATTATTATTTTCTTGACAGATTTTGTCTATTTGTTGCATTATATACAGTACATATACAATACATTAATGTAATTGAAAATCTTCTGGATGCAGTTCTTAAAACTATGCAGTTCACTTAAAGTGTACAGTTCTTTGTATTTAAGAATAATTTTCTGCTTTACGTTATATAATAAAAGCCCTTGCAATTCCAGTATACAGTATGTACAGTATGCGATATGAATGTATTAGTACATAGAAGCTGGAGTGGTATTTCCAGTTTCAATAATTGTATTAGTTTTATTGACTTGATAAAGTGGTATTGTAACTATTACCAGGTTGCTGGTGTTGCATCATGGAGGAAAATTCTAATAAGCTGCCCAGTGGGACAAGGCACATAGCACTCAAAATGATCTCTCCTTTCCTGGGTTCAATCCTGTAACTCAAGGAGTGATATTATTGTGTTCATTGGATGAAAAGAGAAACTGAATATGTACAGTACTAATACAGAAAGGTCTTATCTATTTTTAATCTCCACACTGCTTGTATGGGAGTTGGGTGAAGTGTTAGAAAATCACAGGATGAAATAGAAAATTTTAAATGAAAATGAATGAACAAATAGTAAGGTATTTTTTTTATGAAACATGGAATATACAGAATGCAGGGTGTGATTTGTCTTTTATGCTTTCCATACAAGGGCAGCATGGTGGTGCAGTGGTTAGCATAGCTGGCTCGCACAACTGGGGCACTGGATTCAATTCTGGACATGGGGAGTTTTTTGCATTTAGTTTGTATGTACAGATGCAGGCATTCAAAGTGCGTGACACAGACACGTACCGGAGGTAATTGGCTACGGCCTCGCGCATCGTGACGAGCTATGACGCAAAATACAGTGGTACATGATTGGTTGACCGACAGGGGCACTCGTGGTGCGTTGGTTGGTCGTATAAAGATTTAAATGTCTTTATTGTGCCTGTTTTAGTATTGAATATTTATCACTGAAGGGAAATCTTAATAGCTGAGCATAAAAAGAATAGGAGCATACTGTAATGTGTGTAAAGGCCATAAACGATATTAATTTTGGAACATAAACATACAGTATATGGCTGGTCTCGGTACTTTAAAGACAAAATACACACCAGTATTCCATTTCTCCCTAAACATTTTAAG